AATAGCTAAACAGTAAACAGTAAACGCGATAGCTCTCGCCGACTTCATCGTCCTTGTTTCGGCGATTGTCTTCTTTGACACGGTGGCCCCCCTCAACAGTTGCTTCACAATGACATCCTCTCAGATTTGCGGCACACCTTTCAGGGATTTTGTCCATTGGTTGTCCACAGTTTTCCGAAACCATGCATCAACATTACAACTCGCCATCATCACCTCGCTTTTTCAAATTACATTCCCCCTCACTTCCGGTTTTTTGCAGAAACATTAACTGTGGTGGCATTTCACCATCCAATCAAAGCGTTTGTTTCATGCGTGCTTTGTAATGTGCAAAAGGTCAATTGGTTAACTTGCTCAGAATCATTAAACCTGGTCACCCTTTGGGATCAATGCTTTGAGGTGAGCTCACCAGTTTGGTGTTTGAACGGGGTTTAGATACGTGGCTTCACTACCTGTGGGGAGATCAGTTAAGGTCTGGTGCTATTTGAGCTGGATGGCTGAATAGACCTGGGCCACAGGCAGGATGTTTCCTGATGTCAAAATCTGGCTTTGTACGTTTTAGTCTACACATCGTAATGCAACATCCAAAGCTAATTTCCAAATTCATATTTATATATTAAAAATCAAACAGTGACTGCACAGTTTTTCTGCATTGTCATGTTTGACCAATATACAGACCAATAAGAAAGGTCTGGTGATTTAAAAAAAATGTCTTTAATGTGAGTGGTTCAAACTCAAAGAGACAAAAGAAGCTGCTGCAGATTTTGAGAGGGAAAAAAATGATTCAATATTTAATCCATCATCCAAATGAGTACCAGTATCCTGCAGTTACCCAGATTGGTATTAGATCGGCATAAACACAGGGTACAAAAGATGTCTGCTCCTGTGATCTGAGCCATTGTTGTTCATCTGTTGCTTGTTTTTTCCTGTCACATTAAATCAAGAAAAGGACTAAATGACGCTGTCAAAATGACTCACAATGCAAACTGTGAACCCAGCGAGAGGTGACAAGGTGTTAGCTGCTCAAAGGCATATTAACACGTTAGCAGTAATTAGATGAAGAAGAAAAAAGAAGTTAAGGCGTTTTTATACCACAACTTCTGAGGCAGTCCTGAAAGTCAGGTTGATTTAAAGGAAAATCAGTGTAGAAATGTTAAACCTGAGATGTTATTATTGCTATCAGTTACAAAGATGAGCTAAAACCTTTTTTTTGTATTAAATTGTAAATTTGATTGTGAGCTACTGTTTCTCGCTGCATGGAATACTCTGTGAAATAGAGACAGTGGTTTGGATTTCCACATTGCAAGAGTTCCTACCCTTGGAGCCTCATAGCCCCCGGCACTCGGTATTTTGCCCGGGGAAAGAAAAGCAACTCTATTATTACTGTCGTTAGGTCCTGGCTCAGCCACATCATCATATCTTAAGGACCCACCTGGGGTGAGGCAGCTTTTTATTTTTATTTCGCTCCCCACAGATTGATTTGGAATATACGGCTGTAAGTGACAGATGCAATACAAACACTTTATGGTCTTGATAAAGTGGGCATTACTGTTTTTCCCCCCTTGAAACAGAAATTCAGACAGTCTCTTTTATAAGTCATTTTTAGGAGTTTATCGCATATCTGCGCTTTTTATTGATGACCGTTCATCTCAGATCTAGTGTTTTGCTTTGTACCTCTTTACAGACTGATCCGTTATTTCTCAGCTACTCCTCGGCCACTTAAATGCCTCCCCGCGTACCGTCACTACCTGCCCTTTGACCTCTGCTCTCAATAGAATACAGTAATTAAAGACTGTTTCTTTTTTTCTCTTTCCTACAGACTGAGCAGGATTAAATATTTCATTACCTCCCCACCCGGTGCTAAAAAGGAGAGCTCCAAGGAATTAAGGACACACCCACCGAGAGCAAAAGGGGGATTTTCTAATGACACTGCAAGCACCTTATGATAAACTGTGTGGTTAAAGAGCATATGCTGTACACACAAGGGGTTACTTAATCATCCGCCACCAACCGCAGGCAACAATTGATCATCTACAGGGCTTTTTTATTTTTTCACTGCTACCGCACAGATTAAAGAGTACAGAGATTTTATTTTATCTACTTCTAATAATGCGGTGGAAAACATTCAGGGTCCCCCATTTCCACATGGCTCAACTGAATAAATAAATTAAGCATGAGTGGCTAAATAAATATGCAACAATGATTGAAGTGGTTCTTTGTTCAATAGACTCAGAAATCGCAAACTATTTTAATCAATTAGGACCAGATAAAACATTTGTCTGAATGTTCCTGATGGACAAAATACAGCCGTTTTTGTGCTTCGTCTGTTAAAGGACGATGTTTTCTGGCAATGTTTTATATAAAAGTACACTTTTTCAAGACAAGTGGCAAGAGTTATTTGTTGAAGATTAAATATGAAATGTATTTTTTTTTTTGGATGTTTTACTTTTTATATTTATTTTAGTGCTGCAAATGAAAAGTGTAAGTAATTGCAATCAGAATGCTCAGTTTTAGGCATTTTAATTTTCTTTACGTTTTCTTTTGTGCAGATTTTTTGTGACATCGGTGAATGTGAAGCTTTAAATCACCGGTAATAAATGTTGCATTGGCTGCCTGACGATGCTTGTGTTTGAGCTTGTATGCTAGAAATTCAATAGGGAAAAGGACATTTCAACAAATGCAAACATAACCTTCCCTTATTATTAAAAGAAAACGTAAAAAACTTTAGTCTATCCATTCAACTTCTGCTGCTTCCAGTCGGTTCGTGGAGGCAACAGGACCAGGTCAGAAACCCAGACATCCCTCTCCTCAGTGACACTTCCCAGCTCATCCTGGAGGACACCAAGGTATTCCCAGGCCAAAGGGGATAGATACACAATCCCTCCAGCAAGTCCTGTGTCTTCCCCGGGGTCATCCTACCAGTAGGACATGCCCAGAACACCTCTAAAGGGAGGCGTCCTTATCAGCTGCTCGAAACCACCTCAACTGACTCCTTTTGATGTGGAGGAGCGGCAGCTCTACTCAAGAACTTCCCCCGGGTGACAGAGCTCCCCTCCCCCCACTAGATCTAAGACTGAGCCCGGCCAGCCTGTGGAGTCAAGGAGAAGTCTCTGCAGTGCATATTGTCCTGTGATGGGTGGAGGTCTTGGTGTGGACATGGTTGGCCCTAATCGTGATTGGCGGAGTTGGTGTGTGGGCGGGGTTTGTCCCAACTGGTATGGGTCAGATTGATTTGTCTTGTGGGACAACTTAAAAGAGGAAGCAATGATATTAGTAAAACATGATTTATTGACTGTCCATGTACAGTTTAAAACAGAACAATGACTCAAAGAAAAACTATTGTGAACACGTAAACATAATTTATTGTCTTCAGATTTTCTTCTGCTAGCATCTGCCTGTCTCCAATTATGACTAATATTCATATTCATTTTTAGCTATCTTTTTACAGGCTGGTTAGGGACCAAATTGTTACACGTCCCTCCACATGTACGGCATTCAAATTTCGTGCAGCTAGCACCTTCCTGTCTCAAGTTATGACTAAAATTAATCTCTATACATCTGCCTGATACGACCAAGCTGCCCCCCAGCCTCTTCAAACCCCATCGTCAATCTGACCAATCACATCTTGGGCCAACTCCTCACACAAAATAAGAAAATCCTACTTGGTGACGCCAGAGACCCCCGTCTCTACAGAGGAAGCTCGTTTCATTTTGGCAGCACGGTGGCTCAGTGGTTAGCACTGACGTCTCACAGCAAGAAGGTCCTGGGTTTGATCCCCGGTTTGGACGTGGGGTCTTTCTGTGCGGAGTTTGCATGTTCTCCTTGTGCTTGCATGGGTTTTCTCTGGTACTCCGGTTCCCCCACCCCCAAAAACATGTACAGTAGGTTGCCTTCAGGCCCAGGCCGCCCTTGAAAAAGAGATCTGGGATCTCAATGTTGTTTGCCTGGATAAATAACAGTAAATAAATAAATACATTTTGACGGTTTGAACGTAGAAAGACCAGTAAACGGAGAGCAGCTCTTTCTTCACCTCGACCAGCCGAAGCAACGTCCGCATTACTGCAGATAAGGCCCCAATCCGTTGATCCGCCTTCATCCTACCATCACTCGTGAACAAGACACCAATACCTAAACTCCTCCATTTAAGACAGAGACACCACCCTGACTCAGAGGGGCATTCCACCCTTTTTCAAGTCAAGAACCATGACCGAACAGAGGAACTGAGGCTCACCTACCTCCTTCACACGACTATGAACCGTCCCAGTGCCTGCTGAAGGTCTTGGCCTGAAGACACCAACAGAACCACATCATCTGCATACAGCAGAGATGAGACCCTGTGGTGAGACAAGAAAGTATGTTTAGGTCAGAGTTAAATATTTAACCCTTTAAGCCCATATTTTCCCCTTCATTTCTCTTGTAGGCCCTGTACTGGGCTCATCTGGCTCAACAGGAGAAATAAAAGTATTTAGCTCCATTATTGGTCATAATAACTGTAGTCATCTGGCTGCTTCTTCTCTGCAGCAGCTGTAAACAGACTCTTTGCACTCAACAGCTCAGTAGATTTAACAGGTGGATGTGTGATGCATACTAACCTAAACGGACCACAAGACCTGCTCCCCTCCTCAAACGAAGCGGGCAGCTCAGAAACAATGTCATCTCTGTCAGAGGCGAACAAGGTTGCGGTTTTGATCTAACCAAACACGGCTCGGGTGGACAGGAAATGGAAAGAGCCGTTAACCTTTTCAGCTGGTCAATAATAAAAAGGCAAATATCATCAGTCTCTGTCCCGCGTGGCTGTTTTTATATCTTGTGCTGCATTTTGAGAAATGTCTCTGGATTGCAGAAAGAATTATTTCCAAAATCTAATTTTGACTAAACTTGGGGATGGTTTGAGAGTTTGAGGCGACTCCTATTCTTTCTGGCAAAGCAGGGAAACTGCTTGTGTTTGCCAGCAGCGTCCGACAACACCCGAGTCAGTCTGTGTTTGTGTTCTGTGTTGGCAGTGCGTACCAGGTGGTGGTGGAGGAGGAACGTCCACGCAGAGCGCGGGGCACGGCGGAGATCCTACGCTGCTACCCGGTTCCCATTCACTTCCAGAACGCCACGCTGCTGAACTCACAGTATTACTTCACGGCCCAGTTCCCCGCCGGCGGCATCCACTCGCCCCAGCCCTTCACCGTGGGCGACAACAAGACCTACAATGGCTACTGGAACGCCCCTCTGCTGCCACAGAAGAGCTACAGTATCTATTACCAGGCTGTCAGCACAGCCAATGGGGTGGGTGCATTTATTTATTATTTGTATCGTCAAATATAAAAGAGCTAAATATCTCTTTTTTTACAATCATTAGATGTATGTACAACTAACCCTAAACCGTTCTCTCTTACCAGGAAGTCTTTCTTGAAACTCATTTGAATAAAATGGTATTACTATCACTATCAACTCACATCAAAACAAGGATTAAGTCTAAAAGTGGGATATGAAGAAATAGGCAAATATAGTGTTTTGATTAAAACGTTTGCAAAAATTGCTTTTTGTCAAAACATAATGAATAAATGCCGCATCAATGTATCATTTAAATTAACTGTCTGAAATATAATCATAAAACAAAATTTTCGAGCACTTTTTGAGCATTAGTAGCAAACAACTGATTTTGAGGAAAAATCCCTTAAAATTTTGAGATTTTCCATGTGAGCTAGCAATGTTTTGTTTCTTTTCAGCTGGGAAATGTCAATATTCAAATATAATTTGAGGTTTCCTCTTTATAAGGACATTGAAAATTCTTCAATAAAATTACATAAAATCAGGATTCAGACCAAATGTTTGTTTTATCCTCACCAACAGGAAAAATTAAGTCATATATATATGGATTTACTCATGATATCAGAATGACCCAGGTATAAACATTTAAAACCAGGAATCTGAAAATGTAATGAGGTCATTTTGGCCGAATTTGACTTAATCCTCGTTTCGATATGATGGGTCACATATTTAGGAGAAGCAGAACTTTAGAAATTCATAGAGGAAAAAATATTTTGACAGATAATTGTCGTCCCTGTTTGTTTCTTCATGAATAAATCTGCAGAATGATGATGGTCAGTCCTGCTTTCTGCCGCTGTGAACAAATACACAAGTTCACAGACTCATCTGAGTTGCTATGATCAGATTAGCATAATTGAGAGAACAACTAATTTGTGTACTTAATTTAATCAACTTCAGTGGCTGAGACTGGAACAATTAGAAAAATAAAGCACACGGTTTTAAAAGAGACTTTTTTTTATTCTCTAACAAAGAAGCTAAACTGTATTATCAATTCTTAAACTTTAGTCTTTAATGTTTCAATGAAACAATAATAATGAGCTCTGATTTAATGAAAATGAGAGGCGATTGACTCCTTGTGACCTAAAGCTGCAGAGCACAGTCGCTTCGTAACGGCTGCAAATACTGTAAATCCAGCGAAGCCCGAACATCAGTGACTGCAGTTTCAGTCGTTTGCAGCGAGGTCAAGTCTTAAAGTGCAGAACAATGTGTCGTGACACGCTCTCCCTCCTCCATTACCCTGGTTCTGTTTCCCTGCCTTTTTCCATGGAGCCTCATGCCAAACACAACAGAAACCGCCCATCAGCAGCATTTAAGGGATGCAGTCATACGACCTGCGGCTGAGTGCGCGAGCCGGGGGACAACAATGGGCTTTGCTAATCGCTCAGGTCGCAGCGTCTGTCATCAAGTGGCACTTGGCAGGACCCCCTCCCTTCACCGCTCGCTCAATTGCAGCTTGAAGAGCCCCGCCGATTGTGTCCTGAATGAAAATCACCATAAACAACCTCCTTGAGAAACACCAGCACGCCTGCGACGAGGCAAATACAAAGAACATGTGAGGCAGCGCTGAATCGAATTAGCGAGTTAGCTCTGGAGAGTGAAAGCGTCACCGGTCCTCCAGCAGGAATCAGTGAGTGGTGAGACGACTCACCACACAGCTCAGTGGACGGATTTTAACATAAATGCACCATTTATTGCCCTACAACCAAAAGGCCAAGGCCTGTTTGTTTGTGTGTTTGTTACCAAAATAACTCATGAACCGCTGGATAGATTTTTTTATGAAACTCTTTACAACTGATTAACTTTGTGACTAAAGCTAGTCCACATCAGCCAACACAAAAATTGATTTAATTCAGTAAATTTCACAGATATTGAGCCAAAATTAAGCTTAATTAATAAGCTTAACAGAAACTAGCTAAAAATTGGAGCTACAGACCAGCAGTACAAAAAACAACTGAAATTTTAAATGTGAGAAAAAAGGATTTAAAATTTAATGACATGGCATCTTGAAATATTACATGACATTGTGAATAATGTTATTTTCAAACTTTACAAAAATTAATACAACTTCATCAGATGAATTTAGTCCAAAACTCGGGCCTTAAACTCTTGTCTTTCAGACAACTTTAAATGCTTTTAGCCTCATAATTTAATAAAATTTAAGACCATTTAACAGTTTACAGTCTACAGCTCGTGTACAATGATTCCCTTTTCTTATATTTTACCTGAAAGTGTTGCCTACTCTTCAGACAAACACTGGACCATATTTCTGTGTGGCATTACTCGTCCCATCCTTGTTTCTGTGTCCATTTTTCTCCACTGGACATTTTTCTTTCTTTTGACAGCAAACTTCTCTGACAACAGCAAGTGTTTTTTTTTTTTATGTTTTCTGTTGTCAGAGCTGAAAGTCCATTACATATTCTGAAAGTCTCCCCGATGTGTCGTTTTTGGAGCCCTGCTTAGTGGCTCGGTGTTGCTTGTCACAGGGCTCTGCTTTCTCCACAGTGGCTGACCACCTTGAGCTGCAAGCTGCCGACAGATCGCTGCTGGTTGACAAATCAGCGGCTCAGCACCTCTAATCTGTGCTGCGGGCCCTCTCGCTTAGCTGCATTTTGTGTCACAGTCATCGAGCTCAGCAGATGATAGGGGACAGCATGAGACTGGCCACAATGTTTCTTGTATCCGTGGCGTCTTGGACAGGCGTTGTTGCTGTCATACGGGCGTCTTTGTGTGCACACTTGTGAATGTGTTTTATAATAACCAGCGATCCTCTTCTCCTGTCTTCTTTTCTTTCTTTTTTGCATGTGTCTGAACAGGAAACCAAAATCGACTGCGTTCGAGTTGCAACCAAAGGTAGGACTGGATTCAGTTTTATAACACTTGCGTTTGATATTTCTAACTGAAAGAACGTGTTTTGAGTTTCTTGGTTTTACTGTTGCACTAGTTTTTTTTCTGTTACTTTAAAAAAATAACTGTGGTTTAAGTTTTAACATGATTTTTTTTTTGGGGGGGGTCAATATATTGATCGAGAACATGTGTTTTTCCATGACTGGGAGGCAGCATGTGTGCTCACAGAGGCCTGCAGATACTTAGCTACGCGGCCTGAATGTCCTGCTCCTCACATTAAGGGTGATGAAGTCTAAGCACCATCGATCCGGGTGCAGAATTGATAAGACCAGTGGGAGTCGTAGTCACAATCAGTTCTGGGCTGTGGGAGGTTCTGTCACACGCCCTGACAATCTCATATATATTGTGTGGTTTGCATTCAACTCCACTGCAGATTCCTTGTGGAGGGCTTCGTCTGCTTGGGTCAGCGAGGTGAAGGCAGATAACATGTACAGTAGAACGAAAGAAATGCATTTAAATTTGACTCAAAGAGGATGAACTGAGTAAAACAGGTCATTGTGGGATCTGTTTTTCTGTCTCACCTCAATTTGATTCATTTTTATAGTGTCAATTTATAATAAAAATCATCTCTACTCCACTTCAAATTCAGAATCAAACACAGTTACAATCAATTCATTCCTATTCTAATGCAACACAGACACATACAGTGCAATTAGTAATAAATGTCTAAGGAAACCATCATATCTTCACTTTGTCTGAGCAGCACATTGGCGACAGTGGGAAGGAATGACTTTCCCTTTAACGGGAAGTAAACCTCCAGCAGAATCAGACTCAGAGTGGGTGGACAAGACAGAGATTCAAAACACGCACACGTGTTTCATGTGAAGAAAAATGTGTGTCAGTGATAACTGCAAACACAAACATGAAGAGTAGGAAGAGTGGAAACACCAGCAGAGCCTAAGAATCGAAGCCTACAGCAGCATAGGGGTGGGTGAAACTCAGAGTTCTGATATCAATCCGATACCAAGTACAAAGCCAGTGTTTTCTATGAACCAATTACAACAAAATGTTCAAAATAACAAAAAAAGAAAGCAATAACACAACAAAAAATAACTTCCATTGCAAGCGAGCATGATGAAGACGACTAATGACTAACACCAAACAACTTGGCAACTCTGCACTACTGACTCCACTTTTCACTTTATTTGTAAAAAGTAAAGTTAGTAGTGCAAATAAAGTGAAATGCGCCAGTACCGATCTGATGCTATACTCATCTTGGTGTCGATAGTATGATCGATCGATAAGCCTACCCCTGAGAACTAAGGTATAGACAAGGAAACCTGACCCTAACTACAGGACTTATCAGAAAAGGAAAGACTTAAGTCTAGTCTTAAAAGCCACTAAAGCTCTGCCTCCCATTCTACTTTTAGAAACTCCAGGAACCACAAGTAAACCTGCAATCTCTGTTAGGAAAATATGAGACACTAAGATCTTGGATAAAAGATGGAGCTTTGCGAGATTTTAAAATCTATTTGAATTTTATAGGAAGTCAATCGATTAGAAAAGGAGAGAACGGTGACCTCAGTCCTGCATGGTGATGGGAACTAATGTTTTGAGTTTCAGTGTGGTCTTTCTCTTTGTATTTGTCTCTTGTTTTGCTGCATGCCATCCTGGACCTACTGACTGTACTCAGCCGCCATCCTCGTGACTCAGCTTACGACCCCCTACATCCGCATGGCCCCGGCAGCTGGTGACAACCAACTAACAGGTCAGACCCCTCGCACCTGGGGCGATCTCTGACCCTTTCAGTCATTTATTTCTTTTTTTTAATGTGGTGACCATGCTCACAGTCTGTTCAGCAAGGAAACAAACAAGCAGTTATTATTGCATTATTATTCTTAATAAGTCAAAGACATGCAAACATTGTTGTCTACCTTCATCGTCTTAGTGGACATGAAAGACCTGTTTGTTTGATTCATCAGTTTTGAAAGTTTTCGACAGGAGTTAATCCCCTTTCATGAATATTTCTCATTATTTTTGGGAGATTAAGCGTGTTGGTTGCTAGTTGTTGTAACGCTTAATATAATGCTGAAGTGTATTCCTGCTTGTTCTGCTCCATCCGTTGAGTTCCGTCTGACTAAAATAAAACTGACTGAACATGCAGCTCACGGCTCAAACGGGAATTTAAAGCTGACAGCATTTCTGCAAAATTAGAGTGAAACAATGTTTTAGGATGAAATCGCCTCCATCACTCCAGAAACGATGCCTTTTGGAAGTCTGGCAGTCCTCCGCCGCTTTGCCTAAAATCATATGTCTTCTTTAAATAAAGGCTGTTGATAACGGCGCACCGCAGCTAAAACAATGTGTCACAACCATCTCAGGATGGATATTTGCTCTTTTAATAGGGAGGGAAAATGGCAATACTAGCTGTTTGACATAACAATTTATTATTCTAAATTTACAGCTGGTGACAAGGAATAATAGTGTTGCTCAGGTGGACAGATGTGATCCCGACAACATCGCCTTTTTTTTCCAGAGTGCATCTTATCGCTTCCCAGGAAACAGATGCTGTTAAAACAAGCTGCTTTATTTTATTTTTTTTATATTACCCGGTTTGTTTGCGCCTCTCATTGTTGGCTATCTCCCCCCAGGCTGATATTTAATGTTTTGGTTATTTCAGGCATTTTTTATCTTCTCGGGTATTATCTTTTCTGCACTGCATCGTGCATTTTTCTACATCTTAGCAGCCATTTGCCACAAACGTGATTAACCAAGGGTAAAGAAGGTACGCACTTATCTCCCACAGTGCAGCTTCATCCACAGATTTCTGATGTCCACTAAGGACAGAGCTGAAAGTGGAGACTTGAGACAATTGGAAGTCATGTACTTTTACTCTTAGCCTAATTTTACCCCAACTTTCACACATTTGTGGTTCTGTTTATTCCATCTACATCAGGGATGGGCAACGTAAATGATGCAAGAGGGCCACAGAGCACTGCACACTTACCCAAATATAATAAAACTGCCTTTTCAGAAATATTTCTGTGTATATATGTTTATTAAGCCAACATACAGCAGTAACTTAACATATTTCACGCTCAAATGCATAACAGTTGTAGTCTTATTTTATATGAATACAAAATATTTAAAACAAACAATTAACACTTACTTTACCAAGCAGAAGTGGAACGGCATAAGACAACTTGAGTGCCGACACCTGCATAGCTCTAGTCTAGTAAAAATTTGCTGTTCATGTACTTCTCATATTAGCTTGCAACGCGTTATATTGACGACTTATTTTAAATTTTTACATGGCAGACAGCACCTCAATGCAAACTAAACACATAGGTTTGCTTTGAAATTCTGTGAACAGATAGTCTACATCTGAAAATATAAATAATTTTTGACCAATCTAAAGTCACCCGTCGGCCACATACGGCCCGCAGGCCACCAGTTGCCCATTCCTGGTCTACTTCCCAAAATATTTTTTTTTCTTTTTTTTCATTATTTATTCAAATTAAAGAGTAAAATAAGAAAAGAAAATAGAGGACTCCAGTTGCCCATCCCTGACCTTTTGCTATGTGGTTCCTGTTGAAACAAGATTCAAGTCAAAGTTTTCTTTTAGTTTGATCCTCGTGATGTTTTTGCAGGAGCAGCCACTCACAAACCCGACGCAGTGGAACCGGAGAAGCAAACCGACCACACGGTAAAGATCGCGGGGGTCATCGCCGGGATCCTCCTCTTCGTCATCATTTTCTTAGGCGTGGTGCTCCTCATGAAGAAAAGGTACGCTTCAATCTGTACTCGTTAAAGTACTGTTTAAAACTCTGGGTGGAAGTAGTTACACAGTGCCTAAAAATGAGCCTTTTTTTAACCATTTCCTATATTTCTCCCTCAAATGGTAGCATTGTCAATGGCGTCATAAATAATTAATTAGATCATGTTGATACGGCCCATTAACACTGTTTACAGCCACGAGATACAAGTGTGCCATGAAAAATTAAACATTTTCCACGGCACCCTCGAACAAATGTGCAGCACTTCAGCGACACTGGAGTGGGAATAGGAGGCGGGAAAAATATATATATTTTGGAGCGTTGTGGTGTGTGGAGAGAGGCGTCGAGGAGATAAGAAAGAAAATATGATGAAAGGCTCGAAAGGGAAAGAGGATGGCCGCATAGCTGAAGGCTAAGTTTACATTAGCTCTGGACCCTGGACTCTAGAGATCCTCAGCGCACATCCCAGTAATCAGGGGAGTGAATGCTTGGCAAATATCAACCTCCTTTTTGTCCACAGTAGGGTTTGAAATAACACAATATCACTCTCTGAGGAAATTTCCTTGGTGGGTACGAGTTAGTTTTCTATATTTTCAACAATGTGCTCGTTGTTCTTTAATATTCAAAAGGGATAGTTCAGATCTTTTGAAGTAAGGTTTTAAGGAAAAGTTATGAACAAACTGTGTCGTATGTGTTGTCCGTAGCTCATTGAGTGAGATGAGTTCAGAGTAATATAGATCTGTTTTGACCAGATTAATAAGCTAACTGCAGGTTTGAGCAGGGCCAAAAGCTATGTGCTTTCTTAAAAGGAGAGTCCAATAATTTTTTAAAGGATGTCCTGTCAAATATTTAACAATAGTTAGTAGACAGAAGTCTTTGTCCAGGCCAGGCTAATGACTAATTTATCATTTCAGGCCTAGAAAACCACTTTTTCTCTAAAACAGCATAGCGATACGAAGGAAACCTCTACATTTTTGCATGTTTGTTTAGTTAGTTGTTGTTTTCTCAAACAAACAATGTTTGTGTTAAATGTTAAAGTTTGTGTAAAACTGTTGAGGTTTAATATTATATTAGTTAATGTAGCGTTCTTTTACACAAAGAAAAAGTCCAACTCAGCTCACTGGTGACTTCCATCCAGCCCACACAATTTTATTTTATTTTTTGTTTAATTTCCTGTAAAAATTGATTTTAAATCAAATGTAAAATTTCAAATTTATGATTAAATGAAACAAAATAAACAAGTTTAAAAGGTGAACGATAATACTTGTCTGACCTCTGGGTTGTTGGCTTTGAGTAACTGTGGCCACCTGAGCAATTTAGTTGAACAGCCCTGTATTTATGTCTCGAAATATACGGCTTTTAATCCAGCATTGACTATAAACTACATCTCCCATGATGCACGTTGATTATTTTACCCACAAAAACTGTGCGCAAAACGCTGCCGCTGTTTCTGTGTACGAAATGCCATGTAGAGCTCAGTTATTGTTGGTTAGCTGTGTTCAGCCGTAGCAAAGAGACGAAGAATGTGACTTTTTTTTGTTAAGTTGAAGTTAAACACAAAATGTGTCAATATTTGTAAAGAGTTGTTTTATAAACATGAAAACTAAAACCAAAAAATAAATGAAAAACTTTTAGCTTAGCCATTAGCCTAGCCTGGACAAAGACTTTTTTGCCACATCATCCTCGATGACTGATGTCACTGTTAAGGTGCCAGAATGCCCCTTCAAAAATCTTCATATTCATTTAAAAGGGCTCGAATCAAAAGTTTTATTAACAGTCAATGTGAATGTTATTTTCGAAAATCTTACAGCTCCGACAGTGTTGCATTACTTGTTTTTTTTTTACACAGAATTTTGTGGTTATTTACAAGTTAGCATCAGCAGTATCTATTATAAGTTTTGGGCTCAGCCTGGGGCACTGCTGATAAGAATATGATAATTTTCGTGTTGAAATACTTCTGAAATGTGAAACAAAGGTTTCCATAACAGCCTTGGCCGCTCTTAAACCAGCTTGTTAATTTGATCAGAATTTAACGTTTGTTCCGTATCTACAACAGGTAAGACACTTATTGTTCATAACTTAAGTTGAGTAAATTCACAGTTTAATGTTTGATGGTTCAGTTTCACGTACAACTGGTGAGGCATAGCTGTGTCTCAGTACTAATATAATCACTATGTTCCATGTTTATTCTTGTTGGTAATATAAGGTTTATTTTTCGCAGCGTGGCCTGTTTGTATAGCACAGCAATCAGTAGGTGGGTGTGAAAATCAGCACCGAGTAATGGAATTGTTTTCAATTAGCCTTAATCAAAGCAGAGATGGAGACGACTTCATTGGCTGAGTTTTGTCTAATTTGCTGTCACCAAAGGGGGAATCAGAGTTGTGTTTAGACATTCGAACCGCTCATTAAGTTTCCAACCTCCGAGGTCAGATATGGTAATTCTCTTTTATAGGTGTATAAAACGATGTGTTGATACAAGGGGAGCAGCTAAGTTGGAGTTCTGAACTATTAGACCCCTCCCCCTTCCTACAAGCGCATGACATGACTCCAAGCGATCACCTTTTGCCCTCACGATCACTAGTTTACCTCCACGTGTGCCACCATATCTGATTTTGTTCATTTCGACTCTTTTTTCAAACATTAATATATTTTTACTTTTTCTTTCCTTTTCATTCCATCCCCTCCCCTCCTCCACTGCTTAAATCCTACCACCACCCCTCTCGGCAGAAGAACCTATCACTCCTACACTTACTACCTGTAAGTAACCACTTTGTGTAATGTTAGTGCCATGCTTCTTCACCGACACGCTGCCTCCCCATGCATGCAACGAGCCGTGTCATCCGCCTCCCGCCCAGAGCTATTGCAGAGGCCCGGCTGTAATCTCTGCTGGAGGAACGGAACACGCCACTCCACCGCATCTCCACACCGCGAGCACATCACACTGTGTGTCACGTTGGCACGACTTCTGACGATCAGACAGGCGCAGCTCCGCCCCCACAGACAAACCTGCCACCAGGAATGCCAGCGCAGACAGCCTTTCTGCTCGACTTCTAAGAAAATGTTGTTTACGGGATGATGAGCTAAACTTAATCATTGTAGGGTTCGTTTTAGAAAAGAGAGAGGAGAAAAAGAAGAAAAAAAAAGATAAATCAATGCAGCAAGTGATTCATTTTTACTGAGTGTGAATTTTTTATTCGCCTCCAGTGGCTTCTTCTCTGTTGACTTGTCAAAACTAGAGTTTTTGAAATGTCTATCACGCTCGTGTCCAGGGCTTCGGCTTGTTAGTCCAAATATTTTGCAATTATTTCAGATGCGGTGCATATATTTAAACATTTTATCAGATCGAGCAATTTTCACATTATTTTACCATGAACTTTTTCAGCATGACCTACTCTATATGCATGTGATCATTTTATTTTAAGTTTTGCTTTCTGCCCCCACCACACACACATATCATCTGTTCGATCATCGCAGCACCTCTGCTTTTTCCCCTTTTTTCTGTTTGCAAGCATGTTTTTCGAGGGGTTTGCTGCACATTCATCCCATTGACTCGACGGTGATGCTGGAGTTGTGTCTTCAGCTGACAGGATGTTTGCAGCAAAGCTCTATTTCAGCGTCTCCAGCCCTGTAAAAACAAAGGCCGCAGCGCTGCTTTGTTTGCTCCTAATATATCCAATAATTCCACATCACGCCGTTTAACGGTAAAGAAGCTTTATTCTGCAGCTCTGCCTTCCCTGCCGTAGCTCATAGGCTCCCTGCGTACGGTCTTTGTGATGGATGCCGACTAATCTGTCTTGAGATGGCTGTGATCAGAGGAAAGAATGGGGGGCTGCCTCACATCAAAGAACATCTCAGGATTCACCTGGAGATAATACTACTCTGAATTATCGGTGTGTCACTCATGTTAGATCACAGCTGTCTTGAAAACAAAGCCCCGATGACTTGGCGCAGTGGCGTCTTCAAAGCTGAGTGTACACAATGGCCAAAGTAGGAAATGATTGGTTGGTTGTAAGAGTGTTTTTTTAAGAAAAGCGGTGTTATGTTTTGTTTTTGCTGTTATATTGTCACATGTATGTGGTGTTGTGATTTCATGGAAGTTTATGGAGATAGGAAGGATTTTTAGTGGAAATTAACAACCCCAGCACCAAAACAATACTCTTCTATATAAGTTCAGGATTTCTTGGCTGATGTGTTGGTTTTGATTTTAGAGTATATGTTTTTAAGTCAGCAGGTTTCAGGTAGACACAGTAAAATTATTTAATTTTGTAGTAAAATGTGAAAAAATTCAGCTGGACTTTGAGAAGACTTTTCTTGCTTGCTGCTAGCCTGCTCTAGAGGACTTATTATGCAAAATCCACTTTTTGTAGCCATTAAATACATTTTGTTGTGTACTTGGAGTGTCAAGAAGTGCATAAAGTTTAAATTTAGTTCCTCCTGGTGCTGCAAAGATATATTTATTTACTGTTTGGGTAATAATTTTCAACTTGTTCTGTTTTCTCTATTTTCTGACATTTTCTGAACTATTACATCATTGTTTTTTGCAATGAAACAAATAAGGTTTGGACCAGCTACAATTTAGTGGTCTCCATTTTCCTCTGGCTCTGGGTCAGACTCTGGTTCCAACATGTGAGGCTGGATGGACAAGTCTTCCCTTGTTGACATCTTTTAATTCATTTGTAAATAAAGTTTCTGCGTAGCTATGTAGTCGTAAACTCCTCTATTAAACTAAAATGGACCAGTCTGGAAGCTGAAGTGGGGTCGGGGTGTGAAACGCCTCATTAGGATATGAAGAGACAGCCTCAAAACGAGTCGATCTGAGACACACCTCAGAAAAGTGGTTAAAGAGGGGCTTGTGGAGTTACAATAAGGAAAAATTCAGACCAAAGCATTCCCACTTTATATAAACCCAACTGAGGGATTTAAATGTGAAAAACAAGGATTTAGAAGCATCATGTCCTTTAACAACCAGCTTTAATGTCTGTTTGGCTCCTGATGATGAACCTAAATTCATCAGACTATCGTCAATTGATTTTTTTCCTCTGACGAATAATGAGATAGATCTTTGTCATTAATACTCTCACACTGTCCGTTTTACTGGCAGTAAAACAACACAAGTGATGTTTACAGCACTATGCTGAACGATAGGTAACATTTTCCTCCAGCAGATCCTGTCATAATCTCTATGTTTACATTTAATTTGGGAACTAATTTGAATAACATCCCTAATATGTGTGAGTCTACAAACATTTTGAATTAAACACCTCTAATATTGGTTACAAATCTGAGGAGTCAAACAGAACCCTTCATGATCACAAACAGGAAGTGACTTATTCTAAGCTTGTGACAATAATACAGCGGGTGAAATGAGTATTGAACACGTCACCATTTTTCTCAGTAAATATATTACTAGAGGTGCTAATGACATGAAATTTTCACCAGATGTCGGTAACAACCCAAGTGATCATACAAAGAAATCAAACCATAAATGTCCAGAAATGAAGGTATTTGTAATAATGTGGAATGGCACAGGGAAAAAGTATTGAACACATGAAGAAAGGGAGGTGTAAAAAGGCATGGAAAGGCAAGACACCATCTGAACGCTCTCAGTAATTAGAAAGCAAGCCTGCCCCTTGTCAGTGCAAGTTAATATCAGCTGGTTCAGTCCCAAATGATGGCCAGGTATCACACAAGAACCATCTGATGATGGGTAAAAGTAAAGAGCTCTCTCAAGACCTTCACAACCTTATTGTTGCAAAGCATAATGATGGCATCGGTTACAGAAGAATGTCTAAACTTCTGAAGGTTCCAGTGAGCACTGTTGGGGCCATAATTCAGAAGTGGAAAGAACATTATTTCACCATAAACCGACCACGACCAGGTGCTCCTCACAAGATTTCTGACAGAGGAGTGAAAAGAATTATCAGAAGAGTTGTCCAAGAGCCAAGGACCACTTGTGGAGAGCTTCAGAAAGACCTGGAATTAGCAGGTACGATTGTTTCAAAGAAAACAATAAGTAATGCACTGAACCACCATGGCCTGTATGCACTCTCACCACGCAAGGCTCCACTGCTGAAGAAACAGCATGTTGAAGCTCCTTTAAAGTTTGCTGCACAACATTTAAACAAGCCTGTGTAATACTGGGAGAATATAGTCTGGTCAGATGAGACCAACATTGAACGGTTTGGATGCCAGAATACACATCATGTTTGGAGGTCAAATGGCACTGCACATCAGCCCAAAAACACCATACCAACAGTGAAGTTTGGAGGTGGGAACATCATGGTGTGGGGCTGTTTTTCAGCATATGGTACTGGCAAACTTCAAATAATTGAAGGAAGGATGAGTGGAAAAATGTACAGAGACATTCTTGATAAAAATCTGCTTCCATCTACCAGGATGATGAAGATGAAACGTGGCTGGACATTTCAGCAAGACAATGAGCCCAAACACAAAGCCAAGGAAACTCTCAGTTGGTTTCAGAGAAAGAAACTAAAGCTGCTGGAATGGCCCAGCCAATCACCTGACCTGAATCCAACAGAAAATCTATGGAAAGAACTAAAGATCAGAGTTCATAGAAGAGGTCCACGAAACCTTCAAGATTTGAAGACTGTTTGTGTGGAAGAATGGGCCAAAATCACACCTGAGCAATGCATGCCACTAGTTTCTCCATACAGGAGGCGTCTTGAAGCTGTCATTGACAACAAAGGCTTTTGTACAAAGTATTAGATAAATTTCAGTAAGTGTGTTCAATACTTTTTCCCTGTGCCATTCCACATTATTACAAATAACTTCATTTCTGGACATTTATGGTTTGATTTTTTTGTATGTATGGATCACTTGGGTTGTTACCRACATCTGGTGAAAATTTCATGTCATTAGCACCTCTAGTAATATATTTACTGAGAAAAATGGTGACATGTTCAATACTTATTTTACTCGCTGTATGTAAAAGTGTCCCTTCATATTAATGAACTATAAAATACAAGGTTGGTTTTAGGCACAACTCTATTTTTGTGTATCTTTTGTGTTATAAGTAAGATATCAGGGTACTGCAGGAAATAGATAAGTTTAAATACGTTTCAGTTAAATGAGCTGAATCCTGATCTGCCGTCACTACAGTGGAAGTGTTTATCAGTACTTTTCCTTCTAATTAGCTTGTTTAAGTTCAACCAGTCGTGCGTTCCATGAAGCTAAAGTTTGTAGTCTGAACAGACTAGTTCAGTCTTTTTCAGACGTTCTTCTCAGAGGCGATAAATGTCTCAACTTATCTGATGAGAGCCTTGTTGGCAGCTATGAGCTCACAACACCCCTGTGATTGATGAAACCCATTAATGCTCCAATGCATTCATCAAAGTCTTTAAAAGGCTTAAGAAAATCCCGCAGATGGCAAAAAAAAATAAAAAAAATCACTTTAGGTACCGCCAGAGGTGGCTGTGAGGGCTAGCACCCAACTCCACATCAGTCAGAGCGCTCATTAGGAATGCGGTTACATGTGTGATCAAATATATGACAGCTTTTTAATCAGGTGGCTGCAGCAGCTGCTTTGCATGCTGCTGCTGAGGGACAGCGGAGATCAATTGGCATCGGGCAGGAGTTGTGATTGGGGCTTTATTCTCACGAGGCCCGATTCATCCATCAAGCAGCGGGGAAGTGAAGTTTAAAACACACTTACTGTGACACTTTCCCGCTGATAGGTCTGGCTTGGCTTGAGCTTCTGAACTCCAGGTGTGTGATATGAATACAGAGTATTTTAATGC